TCGCTCAAGGATATTTTCTTTATTTAATCAAAATATATTTTAGCACGTACTTCATCTGTAAAATGCTCTTACAATTATATATTTCATTCATAACAGCCCACATGCATGTTAGACATAACACTTGAAAAAGAAACTTTCTGAACTGAAGGTGTTTAAAATAATTAAACTGCAAAACCATTATAAACCTGGTCCGCTATTCGTATACACAAAAATGAATTTCTAATCATTTCTCTTCTTGCTAAAGGAAACTATATTTTGATACTGCTCATATGTACGTTTGGTATTGAGAAGTTAAAGGTTTCTAAACCCTGAAAAATAGAATGCAGAGTTACTTCTTGGGAAGTTGGTGGATTTCCTTGATACAGGCTTGAAAAACAGATTTCTGGTTGCCCTCCAAATTATTAGAGGAAGTTGCTGGATAAGGAGATAAGATAATGTCTTGAACCTTGCTTCTAGAAAATTTAAGGGAAAATCTAACGTTCAAAAGTCTTATCACATGCTGTGACAGCAACATCTTTGGGTGTTTGTGTGTGAGCCAAATATGATTTGCTCAGAACAAATGCACCATGTTATGAAGCTTTGTTCCAAGTTAGGAACAAACTAATGTTTTTCCTCTCAAATTTATGACAAAATAGTTCCTTTCATTCTCCATAGTTTCAAATATTTAAGGACTTGGAGTACTTTTTTTTTAAATCAAGCTTATCCCAAGTCACGGAGACTCATTAGCCAATAGGCTCCACTGGCTGGAGCTACTGAGGGAAAGAAGGGAGAGCAGTTAAGAAAATGAATTCAGAGACCGAGGAACCATTTTGGATTCCTGCTCATGGAGCTGACTTGGGAAGCCTGAGATTCAGTTGGATGATTAATACTATTGTGTGTATACTTTTAAATGATCTTTAGTTAAGCTGTCTAGCGACTCATAATTATTTCCCTGTCTGCTTTTAATTACCTTTAAATTAAATTTCTATATACCTTTCTCCTTCAAGAAAATCCTGCCTGTTTAATTGGGTAAAATATAATCAAATTATGTGAGTGACTGTCTGCAGGTATTTAGTACTGAGCTGGGCATAGATACATATTAAACATAAAACTAATTTTTCTTTTAAGGTTTGCTCTTATGCTAATTTTTCCAGTGCCCAGTTTAGAGCTAACATCAGCATCCACCCTCCCTCCCAACAAGCCATGACTAGAAGAGATTAGGGAAGAACAGAGAGAAAGGCAAGAAAAGATGATCTCCTAATCAAAGTAGAACAGTTGCAGACAGGCTTGATTTACTATTTCCTGCATGGTACTATTACCTCCCATGGTAGTGGTGCCAACTGGCACTATGGGAGAGACAAAGAACAACGTTGGGAGACATGATCTTCTCTGGCACATAAGAATACTGCACTGATTGGTCCATACATACTAGTCCCTCACCCCAGAAAACAGCTTAAGGATAAGGATCACTAAGAGGACAGGCTGTTTCTTCCTCATTCATAGCCTGGGGATGGTGTTTATAGGGTCAGGAAAACAGTAGTAAACACTCTAGCAATATTTATGCATCCCAAGAGAAGTCCTGCATGTGACATTTTGAGTGTGATTCAAGGGACTAATGCTACACCGTTTGCAAATTATGACTCAGGCAAGAATACAAAACATCTTTAGATGTTGGGATTGTTCAAGCAGCTACAGAGAACCCAGGCCTCCTTGCATCTGTCAGCAGCTGCATTAGGCAAATTATGTTATCAACTGGTGGCAAGGATTCTCTTCTGAAGCAAAACAAGAAGTCATAGCAGGGCTGAAACTGCAGTCAGTGGACCAAAGACAATGGATTGTGTGCTTAGAAGTGCATTAGAAGTTAACTTCTAATGACCATCTGTTTAGAACTGAGCTTTCAGCACGTCTATAAACTTAATCTCAAGTACAGAAGGCAGCAGAAGACACAATTAATGAACATTTGGTACTTTCTAGACCCACAGGAACTGGTAGAACTAGCTATGATATTGTAGAGAAGAGGAGGCAGAAGTTAAGAAGTATTAGTTTAAACTTGAGTAACACAACACCTGTCACAATATGGAACCCTGCCTACATTTTGTTTAAGCAGTTGCTTGAGTAACAATTCCTGTGTATTAAAAAACTATGCTAAGCTAGGTTCTTCTTCTGGTTATTTTCTTTCAAAGGCTATAACTAACTCTAGAACAAGAAGAACTTAGAACTTAGAACTCTAGAACAAGAAGAACTTAGACAAAATCAAAGGTTTAGTAGACCAACTAAAGATTGGTGTCATGCTGGAATATTGCATCTGACATGTGTGAAGTGACAGTCAACACTCAGCAGTGACAATCTCTCAAGGAGGAGAGACTTCATACAGCATTCCTACAGGGCCCTTCCTTATCTAGTTTACAACTTTTCTTCTTAATATGTGTTTTAAAATGAACTTTTACACTGATTATTTCATATTTTTATCTTTAAGGATTTTGCAGCTTGATTTGCCTTTTAGTTTTAAGAATTTTAAAAAAGTTTTTAAAGTCCAAATTTGAAGTAAATGTATATATTCCAAAACCAAGATGGTGAAATAAGCAACACCTTTACTTTAAAAAAAAACAAAAACAATATTACATTGTACCCTGATTATAAATATAAGTGACAATCATGGTAAATTTCACTTTTCTGATGAAATGCATGCTGAATCAGACAATGCTGTTATGTTTTTCCTCTTAAAGTTTTTTTTTAAAAAAGAAAGATTTCTCTGCAGATGACTGCAGAATTAACAAAAGACAGTAAGGAGTCTGTACACAGTATGTTGTGAATAATAATATAATCATTGTCTTGCTAGTTCATTGTTTTTTGTGAAATACATACCACTGGGGGACACAATTACTGGTTGAAGCAGTCTTTGTTCTCCTCCTGGAGGTAAATTCAGTGCAATGACTAAAACTGTGCCCAAAGTAGTCCCAACCCACAAGCATGGTGAAGGTGCTGTATCAGCTTTTCGGGTGAAAGTCTCACAAAAGTGAAGAGCTGAAATTGCTTCTCGGGATTCCTTATCAATGCTGGTTACGCTAGAACTTCTGGATCGGCTGAAGGAATTGTCTCTAACATCTGAAAGATTTTGCATTAATTAAACATACTGCAACACAGTATTACAGTCTTGATTTCATACTTTATAGAACACAATGCATACAGTATGTCCATCTCTAAAATCTCAGCTCCGTAATGTTAGGTTCATATTACACATTATATTTTAGGGGTACATTTAAGATTTTTAAATTGTATACCTGAGGTACAATGGGATTCAGAAAAATATATTTATATATTTGGAAATGCAAAAGCACACTCATTAGACAGTTAACACTGACTACAGCTCCCTGTGAATTGTAGATCCAGCAGAGAACCTAGATATGTATGGTGTACTTTAGATCATACTACACAGTAATATTTTGAGCAGGAAAGCAATTATCCTTATAGTTTTCTCAAAAATAAATGTTATATTATACATGATGCACTACTTCAAATATATACAGCCCCTTTCATTTGATGAAAACTAGGTACAGCACACCTGAATAGAAAGCTTCTTTCAAATCTGTCTCTCTGACACACACATTCACACAAATATAAAGCTATGAATTTGTTTTATCGTTGAATATTCATTATGACTGTAGTTGTTAACCTAATTTCAGCAATTTTAATTACTGATACAGATTAAGAAGGAAATGATTATATGAATGTTCAGTTATTGGAAATAGCACAGAGAAAAGCAAAATAAGCAGTTACCCGGAAGAAAATAAGAATCCATACACTGAAACAAATACCAACATCAACCAACCACAAAACCTACTGAATATGGTTTTTAAAGATGATGAGATTGAAAAAGATATGGTTGCAGAATAGGTAAATCTATTAAGAAAGCAATAAAATATAGTTAATGTACAGAAGCATAATTAAAAAGAATTCATGTGAAAAATTTGTCTGAAATTACTGGAAGGGAAGCAGCAAGTTACTTGTTCACCATCTTTTCAATGTCATTTTTAAGCTTTAGAGCCTGTCTTTTAAGTTTCTAATTTAATCTGTGGAAAGTAGATTCGGATAATTCTGGAAAACACACTGGATAAAAACTGCTTACCCTAGTAAAGCTACATTGTAAGGTTAAACACAATAATGCGGGGCCCTTATGGTAAGAGCATCCCAACCGGGAAAGCTTTGCATAGGGAAATAATATCAGGCTGTTCTAGAAGTCTTTTGTTGATATTTAATTATATTGCTTATTATTGCCTTACCCTAAGTTGTTAATTTAATGTTTCTTTTTTCAAAACTGTAATTTTAATATGTACAGCAGAAAATTGGATATAGCTATAAATATACTCTCAACTGTATAAGCAAGATTTGATGGGGCAATACTAGTGTGTTTCAAGAGAAGCTAAGATGTTCCTTGAAAAATTAAAGATCTTCTTGGATGTACCCACTTCTCTATGCTAATAGAACAAGCTCTCAAAAGCACTATTTGTCCCACTTTTTTATAAAATACAGTGAGAATAAGTCGAAAAGCAGAAGAACTTGCAAGACTTTTTTTTGATATAGATTGACCCAAGTAAAACTATTAATTGGAATCCAATGCCTCATGAACACACCCTACCTTTTCTTTGTACATGGCTCTTCTGTAACTTTTCTCCTTACCTGCAAACTCTAGTATACCCCACAAATCTATTCTGAAACTTTCTAAAATTTTCAAAACAGTATTTGAAGTTTTTAAAGAGGCTGCAGGAATAAGAGTGGATGTTCCCACTCCCAATTCCACTCACAGAAAAAAGCTCTGTCCACAGAAGTGGCCCACTGGCTTATACTCATTGCCCAGATCTTATATCTTTGGAACTATAAGATCTCTCGGTCCCTCTTAAGATCAATATGCTTTGCATGTTTTGTTATAATACAGTCAGCATACTTCTAGAACAAAGGTTTATAAACTTTTTTTGCTTTTTAAAATACAAGGAAAAGAATTGATAAAAGGATGAAGAATTACTGAAGTGTCTATATAAAACCTTACCAAAAACAAGATGAATTGAGAGGTTTATAAAAAACTGAAATTAGAGAATGAGGTGAATTTGTCTCTGCCTCTTTTGGCTAAGTTTCAATGCATACTTGTTTGCTTTATAGGATAAAAACATTCCAGAACCACTTTCTGAGCAAAATAATGACATTTCAAGAGATTAGTAGAGTTCTTAGTAAATAGTTTAAGGTACAACATGCTTGAATAACATTATTCAAACAGATTTTAAAGTGAGTTTAGCACACTATACTGATATATCCTAGATAATAAAATTTCATAATAAAGAAATGTTAACTTAAATTTCAATGAGGCCAGGATCTAATTAACCATGAATTAGTTTCATAGTATACATGAACTTTCAATATATTTCTTCATCTCTTTAAATTACAAACTGCTTTTGAAGGTAATACTATCTTCAGAAATAGTTATTCAGTCCCTTACATCAGTGAACAAGAAAATTGTGACACAAAGAATAAAGAGCAATGTTAAATCTTCCTAAGGCAGTTGTTTATTGAATATACACTATACAGAAATTGATTCAAGCAATTAGTAAATTTAATATTTATTTAGTTGCAGATTAGACAAAGGATATACCTATTTAGATACCAATAAAATATAAGTCAATGTACCAGAGCATATTTAAAAATAATTCACATGAAAATCATCTGAAGTTATTACATTTATATCCTGCCTGTTCTCAAAAAAAAAGGGGGGGCGAGGGGGAATATATATAATTCCCTTCCTTATTTTAACTTCTTGATATGGAATGTGGGATAGCATCACCTGAGAAAGCAAGCTGATCCTCTCTGCAAAACTTACGGCTAAACAGAGATTTGTATCTGCATTTTCCATCTAACTAGCTATTACTACAATGCATGCCAAATTGAAAGTTATGCAGGATTTCCTTATGTTATCTTTGTTTGTTATTGAAAGTAATCATGTGGATTATGGAAATTAAAAAATAAACTATGAACAAAATTATAGGGCTTCTGTGAGATTTTCATGGTTTTTAAAGAGGAACATAAAAGTAGTTCCAAACTGAGGGAAAAGAAATTGTAAACATGCACTGCATCAAATCTTGGAACTGAAACAATGGAAGATAAATGGAAATTTTCCCTACTTAGATGTGTGAAAGCTCAAAATACATGGTGTATATTTCTTCTTTTACAGCCTTTTCAAAGAGTATAAACACCATTAATACAGGCTTTGAACAAATACTTACCTAACTCAGGTTTCAGTTCAGTTGGTAAGCTTAATTTTCTAGACATCTTTGCTGAAAAATAATGTATAGTTTTGTAATAAAGCTAGAATGATCACATTTTCAGAGAATATGAAATAATTAAAATTGTCAGTTTTCAAATTCAGAATTCATATATTAGTTCTAAGCAAGGAAGTATGTGTATGTAAACATATATTTATGAAAAGTTTAATTACAAGGGTGTAATGAGAGTATGACAATTACTTTTTCTGGAATTACAACAAGTTAAAGAACACTAATATTTAAAATTATTAGGCTTTCAAATGTCTTTATTGTGGCACATTAGATGTTCTGATTTATATTCATGTTCCCCAAAGTTAATTTTTTAGTTAATACAAGTCAAGAAGGAGCCAAAGTTAATTAAGTATCTTTTACAATTTCTGTCCCAAATACTGCAATTCTAATGTGGCAAAGATCACAGAAAATTGCCAGGAGACTGAACCTCCAAAAGCCCCTGAATGTTAGAAATATTTTCAGAATTACAGGAAAATTAAAACGCCACAAAGGGCAAAGTGTAGGGCTACATGGTTCCTGTTACTAGTAGAGATACGTTAGGGGACCAACATCTATGTATAGCAAACTGCAAACATGTTTATAAACTATGCTTTCTGGTGGCCATAGCAGACACTGGGAGGAGCAGGGCATTCCCTCTTCAATGATAATGCTGTCTCCCACTGTTATTCCTCCTAGCATGGGTAGGGAAAAGGAAAAGAGGTTTTCAAAGAGACATACTGCCCCTATTATTGAGGACATACATAACCTGAATAAATGTAGAGGATGAAGGATTCTATTATTTGATTATATAATAGAAGATTTATCCCTGGAAGCTTGCCATTGCTAAGAATAAAAACTGTTTCTTAAGGCATCTTGTGATATAGCTTTTTTGAAAAATATAAAAATGTTTTACATCGATAAATAAGACAAGACCATGGTGTTCTGCAAGTAAAAAAGGCAGGAAAATAAAATATTAAACAAATATACTATATTGACTAAAATCTGGAGTTAGAATGCTTTAAAACAATCCTAAATGCAAAACCCTTGTAACATAATTAGGAATGTAGCTACTATAAGCATTTCCTTTTCACTGGAGATCCTTGGGATTACTGAATTGTGTTTCCAGGAAAGTCTATCTTCCCTGTTCTTCAGAAAATACTTTAGCATAAATCAAATTATGCTAAAAAAAGGGGGGGGGTAGGGATGGAGATTTCTAAGGTTATTTGCTACTGCTTTTTGTTTTAGATTAATTCATTTAGCTTACAGGTAACTGAATTAAAAGCAATTGTTTTATGTTATATAAAATCACAGTTTGTGTTATATTTGTGTATATTACTTTATGTTTGGTTAGCTTAAAATATGGTTGAATTTGAGCGTAGAGTTTAACATGCTCACTTGTATTACATTCAGAATCATTCTAAGCAGCTTAATCCTTATTAAATGAAATTTTGACAGAATTTAATACAATTTTTTCTTTTTGTTTTTAGGGGACTATTTTTAATTCATGATGGAAATCTTTGCACCACCATCAAGACAGACAAAGACAGCAGCACAGGTTCATGCAAAGAAAACTTGAATCCACACACACGGTTTAAAGTGACTAAATTTCCATGGGCAGTAGAAACCTGAAGATTGGAAACTATAATTAGTATACATTTCTCTACCTTTTTTTCTATTAAAAAAACTACTTTACCTCAGCAATATTAGCAAATATTCAAGTACATGGCATCAAAACCAGCAAAAAGTTTACACATGGCCAAACAAGCTCTAATAAATGAAGCATCAGAAACCAAAAGCATTGGCTATTATCTGATTAGATCAATCCATACTTGCAAATAACAGCAATACTGGTGTTTCACTTAAAACACACCCTACAGTATGATAATTTGGTATTGCTAGCTTTAATCAACAGCGTCACTCCCTTTTTAATACTGCCATTCACTGTAACCAGAAGGACCTAACTGATAAGGACTTCATCAGGTCCAACATATAAAAAAATGTTGGTATTGAATTATAATCAATATACGTTAAAAATGCTTATCAGTGTAAATTCTACACAGTCCAAAAAGCAGAAAAAAAAATTGAGTAGTCACCAGTGGCACATCATATAGGTAATTCATCTAAATTCTACGTACTAAAATATTAACAATTATAATGTGATCGATAACGATAGCAAGTTTTATTATAATGCGTTGCTTTAAAATTCTATATACAAAAGAATTCTCAGTGCACCATTTGCTCCTTTTACTTTTCCTCACTCTACACAACTAATTTCAAATACAACCACACATAGTTTGGAGCTAATTTTGGCGCATTACTACAACACCATTTGTCAAAATGATCTCTCCTTCTTGTCCCACTGCACTTGTTATTATAGAAACTTATGATAGATTTAATCTAATGGTTTCCTCATTTTATCCAGGAACAAAAGTCACATGTTACCTAGTTTATCATTTTTGACAGACATTTGAAGATAAAACACTTTTATTGGTTGAAGTTGATTATCACAATTAGGGTTGAAACTGAACTAGAGTCTACTCTTGCTTAGATTTGCTTTGTCATTTTCTGTGGCTAACAGGAAGTTTGGAGAAGTGTACACAACAGCAAACTTACTGTACCTATATCTGTTTTGAATGGGAAGGGGAAATACAAATAGTCAAACTCCTCTAGAGTTGAGAAATTAGTATTTATTTGCAAATCCTAATGGACTTCCATCTGGCATGTGAAACAGCTGATCATTCTCAGGAAATGCAAGACATTTTTCTCTGAAAACAAAACTTCATGCTGCTGATAGATGCTGGAAGCACTTATTGATAGACCTGTGAACATGAATTAAACATTTCTAGAAATTTTTAATCTTGAAATAAATCCTGTTTAATTTCAAACTCAGGGAAAAAAATTAAAAACGCCATTTAATTATACAAAGTGGTGCTATGAAACATAAAATATGCTATATATATCTTGATGTACTGATAAAATTAATGTTGCTATATTCTAACATAATATATAATTATCCCTGTATGATTTCTTCATTAAATATCAGATTAGTAAAAACTCAATTATAATTTACACAGTATAATGGAGCTAAAATAAGTTTAATACACTGACATTAAACATTTTATCTTCCAACAAAGAATGCTTTCTTTCAGAACTGTTAAACTGCTATTATATTTTTTGAATCTGAAGAGCAAACATAGTGGAAGAGAATGGACTTTCTAACTTTCCCTGACTTACATGAGTCAAAGCAATCAGTTTCTTGTTTTTCACTGAAATCTTAGTCCTCTGAGACCCACTCAGGCTAGCAGGAAGACAGGTGGAGGAGTGAACCAGATAGTCAACAGGCAAAGAAGCAATGAATTCTTTTCCCTTCTCTTATGAAACGACTGCCCCTCCCTACTTCCCAGGAGAAGAACCCTAATCCTAACTCTCTTATTTTGAGAGGACTATGTGTCCTCAGCAAAGGAACTGTAATAATTCAATATACCAACGACTTGCAGTTGCATTGGTATTAGGTATCATTTATGGGATGTAAAAGGTTACAATGTCTATGAAATTTGTCAAACTTTTTTTCATAATAAAAAGAAAGAAAGAAAAGAAAAAAGAAAAGAAAAGAGAAAAGGGAAAGAGAAAGAAAATCCATTTTCCTTTTCCCCCATCAGGAAAAATACAGAACTTTTTTTTGTGGAAAAAAATATTCTTTCTTCTCCCCTCCAGAAATATTCTTTCTGAAATATTCTTTTTGCAAGTATTTATCCAGAATAATTATGTCATCAGAGCTACTATCCATTTAGATGTTATTTCATAGAATGAGTAATTTTTATTTCTCTCTGTGCTACTTAGTCAAAACAATTGCTGCAAGTAATTGCAAGTGTCCTTATTTTGAGTTCTTTTTATGTCAGTTGACACCAGACTAATAGGGAAACAAACACATTAAAACTAAGCATTTTTATTGTTTCACAAGTATTCCGTTACATTGGAACCATTTACATATTTCCTATTTGATCCATCCATCCATCCATCCATCCATCCATCCATCCATCCATCCATCCATCCATCCATCTTTCTCCATTCCAAGCATTCCAGGCACAGGATTCAGCCAGAAGAACCTAATACTGATAACTACTCAAATAACATATAATACAATTTTAAAACCTACATTACATTGCTAGAACACATAAATGTATCTAGCTGGTTTAGTTATTGTTAAAACATATTATTGACTGCTTTTCAGAATGAAATATAAGTAATTTTGTTAAGAATGTTTATCAATCAATGCCATTAATGTGATTTAAAAACCTTATTTCTCCAAACCTCCCACTATAATACAGATTTCAGCATGAATTTCTTACTGAATTCTAATTTCAGAAGAACCTTAAGGTAAGAAAGTCACTGGTTTCATATTTACAACCAAATATATAAAAAATCCTTTGAACATTGTCTAAAAGAAAAGAGATAAATTATTAATTTTTCAGATGTGCTATAAAAAGACAAATTTAGAAGGAGCCAAGCCACTTCTGTGTAAATATATATATATTCCTAGATAATTAGTAAAATCTTACAAACAAAAATGACAGAAACTGAAATGACAGAAACAAGAAAAGCCTTTATAGTACAATAATATAATATCTACTCAAAAGTGAGCCCCACTGAATTAAAGTACATACTCCCAGGTAAATGGGCAAAGAATTAGAGCTTTAATTTAAGCAGAATACCAATACCTTTAAGAAATATTATGCTTTAAAATAAAAAAGCAGAATAACCATGTGCAAGCAAGAAAGTATTCCTATCTCTCCTGTATGTTAGTTCATCATTCACCATATTTACAACCTTACAACAGAAGGGTTCAATCATCATTCGCATGTACTGCAAATGTTATAATTTTCAATTTATTGTCAATTATATTAGTTTGGTTAGTGATAATTAAAATATACTTATTTCAGAAATAAAAATTTGTCATACTTTTATCCTTAAAATTGGAAAGAAACTATCATTATTCATTTCAACATAATCGGGTCTATTCAGAGGACCAAGTTAAAAATGATTTATGCAGTAACGCTTACAGGATTGAACTTCTTCAATATTTTAAACCAGAAACCAATTTTTTTTCCTTTTTGGTAGAATGTGTGCGTAAAATTAGAAAAAATTAAGAGCCCATCTCCTTGATTAAATGACGAAGCAAATTATTTTAGAAAATAAGCAAATAAATGGTTAGAAGAGTATTAATTTAACAATAATGCACTACAGCTTGCTCTGTTTTACAACTGAGTTAAGCACTGCATAGAATAAAGTGCCAGGAAGGAGCAAAGGATATTTTTTCTAGTTCCTACCTATATCACTGGCTATCATCTTGGAAAACTTTCTGCTTTTGGTTTTCACTGCAAATAATATTTTGATAGAAAATGTCAATTTACTAAAAAGATAAGCTAATGAAAGCAATGATAATACTGTACTCTTAGAAATAAAAATACTATACCCTTTTCTATAAAATTATTCATTTTTTGTTCATCATCAGAATTGTTGGGAAAAGCAGAACCTACATGAATGAAGACAAGAATGAAAGGGATATAAAGAAAGGATGTTCAAAACAAAATACATACAAGGCAAAGAATTGGAATAGACTGTAAAAGTAAAGAAGAGACACAATGTTCTAGTCTGCATTAAATGCAATGATAAAGTCTAAAATATATATCACCACTGAGTATGGACTACTTTCATATTTAAGATTTTTCTAGTGCTAGAAAGTTTATACAATGTACGGCTCTCCAGTGATACCTCCCTCCTCCCTTTGATGCTCACAGAATTTGTATAAGGACCTCAGCTTTAAAGACAGCTCTTTGAATCTCCTATGTCACCATGTCATCACATTTTCAATGAGATAAATAACATGACTTTGGCTAAATTATAAAAGTATCCTAATGAAAAGCAATCAAACTCTATCAATCAAATGCATATGGAGGATACATATTTACTTAATACTGTAAAGAAAAATATAATTTGACAAGACTGTTTAATAAAAAAATTCATAGTGCATAATTACAGAAAATATAATTTGTATTTTAGATTCCATTGGTGAATTACATATGTAGTCAATCTAGTTCAAAAAGAAAAGAAATAAATTAAAATTAAAAGTACATTATTTGTGTCTCCAGTGAAAGTTGTCTTGAATAGTAAATGATAAAGTGCCTCTTTTCATCTTAAAATAGAATGATTTTTCTATTATCTGTAGAAGAGGAACTGAGGAAATTTGGGCAGAGTGATGATTTATATGGCTTCATGCCCCCAAAAAAGCTCGTTTAGAGAACCTCTCAGAAGAGCAGTCTGCACAGGGCAAAGTTCAAATGTGTAATGTATAGAGGCCATGAAGAATAACAGAACTGGCTGATAAAATTGAATTAGTGCATATTCAATGGTTAGGGTTAGGATTTGCATGTTAGTGACAAGGAAAGAAACTCCATTATATTCCACAGGATGGCTTACCATTAGAAATCTTGATTCTATCTAAATTGAGATGATTCATGCATAAAAATGAAAATACAGTGAGACTTGCCTGTACTATTTACTTCAGGAGGATTTAAATAAAATTTAATGCATAGATGCTTTCCTATATATTAAAACTTCTTTAAAAAATAATATATTTTACTTACCTGTAAAGTTCTGAAAATAAAAGACCTGATGAAAGGACTGTCTTGAACTATTTCCTTCTAAGAATCTATGTTGGCTTTTGGATCAGTGCTTTATTTATTTCCTCCAAGTGATAGCTAATCCTGTTTTCCTACCCCAGGTAAGATTGTAATTAGGGTCAAATAAGTGACTCCTGATTCCCCTCAAAATAAATTAAATAAATACATTTTAAAAAACCATGACGTTCCTGCAATTATTCCAAACTGCAACATCGATGGCAGTGTTATGCCTTTTTTCCCCTCCAAACTTTCTTCTAAGTCCTAAAGTCCTTCACACCAGCAGTGGATCCTTTTATAGTGCTGAGGTGCTCCTTTCCCTCCCTGCATCTCAGATTGCTTTCCTTGTAATGATTCAGGCAGCAGGAAAAATGGTGGAATAGAATGAAATAAGTGATTGCTATCACCCATTAAAATTTGAACCGATAAAGAGATAATTACAATCATATATTTCAGGAACATATTAAAAATAATCATTTTATATACTGACTCAATTATGAATATTTTTGATACCACCACTCCTTTTTGTTTTTATTCTAGACCACACTCCATTTTACTACCAGAATTAACTAATATATATGTTACAAAACCAGCATGGATTTTTTCTATATAAAAGTTATACAATTCACATATAAATTGAAGCTCATAGTAAAGTAAATATCACACTCAATTGCAAACTATAGTTTCTGATTTAAGAAATGATATTTCTCAATAGAATGACAGAACAAATTCCATATTCGCCTATGGTTGGAAAAAAACTGCATGAAATTTCTGGGATCTAAGTTTACTTGAAGCTCATTGTCCCAGGCACAGTAATACCTCGGTTCACGAACGCTTCTGTTCACAAACAATTCAGTTCGCGAACAGCAGCTGC